TGCTAAGCCTGGAAAAGATAGCAGAGAGATTGTAACTGACATGATGTGACACTTAGATGGGGCAAAAGAGAAAGGAGGAAAACACCATGGGGAAAAAAAAATAGATACAAGTTGATGGAGCAAAGGAGGCAGAATTGATGACACAAGGCAAAAAGCTGTAAGCAACATCGCAGCAAAGAAACCTCTGTGGATGTCTGTCTGCTTTGCCCACATCTTCACATCCTCTCCTCTTCTACGCAGGCTGCAGTGGTGGGGAGAAATGACTGCAGCTGGTACAAAACATGCTTTGGGCCTTTTTTAGCTATGCTGGAGGAAAGATCTGCAGAGAGCCTTGTTTCTGCTCCTCTCTCCCCTGCCATGGCTCACACGCTCTGGCCCCACACTGGAGCTGAGGACCTCCTTAAGCAACAATAAGCATTTTAGCCACAGCAGGACAGGGAAGCAAAAGGCAGCACTCAGTGCCTGCTTGCTCTTTTTTTGCCAAAAAGATTGTAAGGTTTGTTGTTCCACAACTTGCCCATCACCTTCCTGTTGGTCCTTGACAGCCCCACGCACCGAGTAGCTCAAATGCCCAACAGAGAGGGTGTGGGGAAAACACTGCCTTATGGCCACAGCTCCTTGCTGATGTGCCCCAGGGATGGAGCTGGGAGAAAGGAGCTGGGAAAAAGGGAGTAGGAGCGGCTGCACTGAACAGAAATGCTTTGTGCTGCAGAAGGGCGTACATTGGAGGTCAGAACCAAGTTGGTTTTGGCACGAGCACAAGAGGCAGTAAGGAGAATGAATGAGAAGGCAGCTGACCCCGGGGAGAGGAGAAGAACGTAAGAGGAGCAGCTGATCCGCGTCCAATTCACAGGCTGGAAAAAGCAAAGCAGCATAATTTGGGTTAAGATTCAATGACTTTACATGACAACAACAAAACAAAGCAAAACAAACACAACAAGCATTTGGACAGGAAGAAAAGTGTCAACTAACTGGAAGGCATGGGTATCTGGAAAGATTAACAACGTCCGAGGGCACTGCCTTTCCACTCTCCCACCTAAAAACCCAGTCTTGGCAACTTTACATCGATATGAAGGTTGTCATTACACTGATTTTGTCATAACACTGTTTTAATACTTGCCTACCTCACCTCAGAACTACCATAAAGGTGTTCTGACCTTTCAAGTAGTTCGCATGGGATAAAGTTTGAACTCCAGCTTGCTCAGAAACTTGAATCAGGTCCCTGACAATGCTCCTTTGTCTCACCTGAAGCAGGGCCGCTATCATACTCTGGTAATTAAAAAAAGTCATATTATCCTTAGCACAAAGGTACAGTGCACTTTCTATAGAAAGGGGCAAGGGTGTGGAGGTGGAGTTCAAGCAGAAGGCTGCAGGACAGAGGCTGCACTTCACAGAGGGGCAAAGATGTTCCTCTTTTGTCCTCAAATCCAGTCACCTGAAGTGATGGTCCGGGCCAAAAACAGTTTACATATAAGCACTTACATCCAGGTCTGCTAGGGCTGGTCATTACCTCAACCCCAGCAGGCAGGAGTTTGCTGTCCTTTTTGTTTTTAAAACACAGGCAGGTTCTTTTCCAGGAAATAAAAGGCCTTCATTTCAGAGCACAGCAACTAACATTAGTCAGTATGTACACCCTGGATATATTTAATAGTAAAGAGTTACATGGAACACCATCACCTCAGGTATATTTGAGATTAGAAAAGGTAAGAGAAAAAGGAAGATTTCAGAGGGCAGGGCTGTTAACTCAGGTTATTTCTATAAGACCTCCCTGCTGGCAGGAAGTCACAGCACTGCATCTGTGCTTGGGGCACACGAGCTCTTTGTTCAGCTGCTCAGGCAACAGGCACAGGAGATCACACTTGTGCTACACAGCTGCCTTCTGTCTCCTGCTGGAGCTCCCAACTGCAGCACAAGAGCCAAGGCCATCAGCACACAGCAGCACCAAAGAGGCTGAACTGCTGTTCAGCTCCTTACCAGCACCTCAGCCAACAGCCCTGCATGCTCAGTATCCAATTCTGATAGCAGCTGGTCAGTGAGACAGACAGACAGAAACCATCCCCTTCAGCTTCATCTCACTGCAGCCCAGTGGCTGTGTACCCTCATGCAACTCTGGCTCAGATTCATGGTATGGTAACAAATGAACTGTAACTTTACCCATGGGGTTTTCCCAAGGTGATGTTTTGTCTCCACCTTCTGGCTGCCGCAGGATTCATATACACTTGAAAGAGAGCACCATGAATTCACACTCAGCAATTCAAAGCTCCCACGGTGTGTCTGAACAAAAAGGACCTAGCCAAAATATGCATGGTGCTCATATCTTGGCAATCTTCTAGAAGGACATGGAAGGGGGAAGAAAAAGGCTTCACAGATATTAAGCATCTTCAAAACACTTTCAGAATTATTCACTCCTAACGCAGAGAATTTCTGTTTAACTCACCTGAAGGACTGCAGCATAATAATCCAAGTACATGCAACCACTCTAAAGTCAAGGGAGGAAAGAGTTGAAACTATGGGATCACACTGAAACTTTCAACGGGATCCACAGAGCACACAACGTCCTTAACAAACGAGGCTGAACAAATTGCAAATGGTGAGACAGATAAATAGGAAGTGGTTTCATCAGTTTATTGCTTTTTGCAAGGTGAACTCTGCTGCCATTTGATGTATGGTTGAGCCCATGAAGGAATACCCAACGCCACATACACACTACAACGGAGAGCAATGTTTTATCACAAGCTACAAAACTGGTTGGAAAAAAACAAAAACTAACCCCACATCAACATAATTTAAGAACCTGACAATAAATATGACATCTCCAAAAAGCTACTGGCATTCACACTGATCAACTGATTCTTTTTCAATTTCCTGATTAAAGCAAAGTGGTAAGGGATCAAGTGCTCTGAAACACATAATTTGGTGTTTTCAGGACATCCTCCCAACGCACACGCTCTGAACGCCATCATTTCTTCATTAATACCAAATGGAATTAACATACTCTGTTGCTAGTTTAAATATCGAGAGAAAATAATTAGCACATTTCAATATATTAACTAAAAGATCATCTGTATAAAACTCTTCAAACATGAAATAGCTTTAAATTAAACAATATAATTATTATACTTACAGGAAAACAAACTAGAAATTTATTGCTACCACAAAAAAAAATCAACGTGTTTTGAGGAGGAGAATTTAGATTAACATTATTGCTATGAACACCAACAGTGCCAGAGACAAGAATCTGATTCTGATATTTCCTTATCGTCCACAACCGGCTTTCAAGGACACACATGGGACTAAGGAAAGTTAGGCTCCACAATTTCTTATTCAGAATTAGGCTTTATGGTCACATGATATTTTATTGCCTTTCTGTGTAACAGCCAGAATCCATCTGCTGCTTCTGTGTTTCAACATTACCATTCATTAGATCTCCTCACCAGGGAAAAAATAAATACAAAAAAATCCACAATTACCATAATCTTACTTTCCCTCATTAGATACTGGAATATTTGAACCTCCATACTGTGTTCCCCTTAGCCCATAATAAAAACTAAAAAAAAGGTGGGAATGTTCACGATGTGGAGAGTCCATGACTCTAAACAATGTTCCTAGGCCAACCATTAATGGATTTGCTAACAAGCTTCCCCCAAAAAGCATTTTTCAGATGCTGTAGGCTGACTAACAACACTCAGTGCAAACAGTCCTACCTACTACTCTACCAGTCCCAGAGCTAGCAACTACACCTGCGTGCAGGTCTGCGCAGTCCAGTTTCTTTGCAATGCACTGACTTCCAGTCACAAGAGTATATGTTCCTATAGGTTGAGCTTTTGGTTTTCAAGAAGCATGCTGCTTTCAGCAGGCATTCTTCCTAGGTCATATACTTTCTCAGTATGATTTTGTGGTTTTCTTACATACATTCAGCTAGCTGCTGACTTAAAAACTTATCCAGGATAATCCAACCTCTCCCTTCAATTTTAACAACCAACACTAGAGTTCATAATAATAGTTTACATTGATGATAACCCTTAATGTAACAATAGCCATAATTAATTGCTAAAGGATTGTAAAATAAACCAGGATAAATTTCAGCCTACTCATAGATTGTATTATTGCTGAACTGAAGGTTTATACAAACCAATGTCTTATCGACTGAGAGATTCTCAAGTCACTCTAGAAATGAAGAGGACAGATTCTGTATTAATGCCACTTTTTTACCTGGAGTAGCTGAACTCTGCTGCAAATCAACTACTTAGAAACATTCGTCTGGGTCTGCAGGAATGGCCTGAAGGAAGAACTGGGTTCAGGTGTCAGCCTCCAACAGGTCACATCATTTTACAACATGCCCTGTGGTCCAAATTGCCTCATGCAAAAGCAGGGCTCTAACCTGATGCACGATGGGATCGAGGATTCTAACATCAAGTGTGGACACCGAAGTACTGACTCGTCAATTGTGGCCATAACAGTTCCTTTTCCTTCGCCTCCACTCCCATATCCCTCCTCCAAAAAAAACATCAGCACAAAAACAAAATAATATTAATATTTGAGGGAGAAACACAATGGTCAAGTTGTGAGAAGTGGGATTTGAGAAACATACGCCTTTCTTTTCACGGCATGCATGAAAAGGAGTCATACACCAGGAACTGGATCCACAAAGACAGCAGCTCAATGGGAAATAAATCTTCTACGCTGTCAGACAACTCAGGGTAGCACTGTGTGTACCATATACATATGAAAACAAAATCTCTGCTTCTCTTCTGACAACTTAAAACATCAAATATTTTAAATGGATCTCTTTCAATGCTGACTTGTATTTACAGTTATCCACAAAAATGTGCAAAATAAAATCGAACATCAAAATAAATGTAAAAGTCCAACAAATGGAACTTGACATTAAAAAAAAAAAAAAAAAAAAAAAAAAAAAAGCAGATATATAAATTTAATTTTATAAAAAATTTAAATTTATATTAAAAAAAAAAAAAAAAAAAAAAAAAAGACAGCAGAGATTCCAAGTCCATTTTATATAAGCTTTAAAGGTTGTTCCAACAAAACCTCTGGGGATTTAACAAATCCAGACCACGCTGCACTTCAATCACTAGCTGTCTTTGTTGCAGAATTCACAATGTATTCCACCAGTGAGGTCTTTCACAACTTTTTCTTTGACCAGTTTTTGCAGTAATTTGGTTTCACCTGTCACATTGTGCATCGTTTGTCTGTTCATTGCAGCCATGCAGAGGTTGTTGTAATAGTGCAAAGGTGTGCTGGGCTGGTCCAGGTCATACCCAAATCCTGCTATGCTTACTTCATCACATAAATGCGTGGCCAGAACAACTGCCATGACCCCAATCGTGGGTACATTCTAAGAAGAGGAAAAGAGAAAAAACAAGTCTGTTGAATTCAAATGGCTTCAGATGCTCTCTTTTGGCAGTTTTACAACACTTCACGGTATTAGCCTATTTCCTCACTTACAAATTAAATCAGCCAAAGATTAAATCAATCTCTTAAAACTAAATTTGAGTTCAAGGACCTAAACCAAAAATTTCAGTTGTATTAATACAACTTGAGTATTTGCCCTTCATAAGAATTTTGGCTTTTGACACTACATTTTCTCCTGTGAACTGAGGGCAAAATGCCCTATTACTATGTATTCTGACTGCAAGTGAACCCTCATTCCAAATAAACAACTCCTGACATGTAGTCACACTTGGCATTTCTTCATAGATGCTTGTTTCAGCCTTCAATAAGTAACATCCTAACAGTATTCTTAGAAACCTACTTCTCACTGAACATCTGCTGATGAGGGTGAGTACACCAAACCATGCATAGCCTCCTTGTATCCTAAAATATTACATTATTTGTTTAAAGAAACACTTTGAGATCTGACGATCCTTCAAAACATTTCTGCGCCAAGGTAAGTTTAGGCTGGATATCAGGAAACACCTCTTTACAGAAGGTTGTTAAGCAGTGGAATAGGCTCTCCTGGGAGGTGGCTGAGTCACCATCCCTGGATGAGTATAAAAACTGTTTGGATGTGGGCTCAGGGACATGATTTAGCAGAGGGCTGTCAGTTAGGGTAGTGTGGTTGGGTTGTGGTTGGACTCAATGATCTTTAAGGTCTTTTCCAGCCTGAGTGATTCTATGATTCTGTGATATGTTGGCAATAACTGCTTTCATGCAATGTAAAAAGGCAATGGTTACTCAGTACTTCTCATAGCTCAAGAGAACTGCTGACACAATTTGACGAATAATTAAAATTTAACAAAAATGCAGTGTTTAATTAAATCGGGTGATTCATCACTCCATGCCATTGCTAAAAGCTAAGGCTACCGAGAGAGGATACACCCACCAGCTGCTACTGAGCACCAGGGCACACACACAGAAACTCCCATAGTGGGAAGAACCTGCCAGTGGGAAGTCTGCTTTACAATTCCCCTGTTTCCATACTCTTTCTGCTTTTCCCACAGCCGGAGATGTGCCTGTCCATAGCTGACCTCTGGCTCGACTTAACAGGACTGCTGTCAACACACTCTGGTGTATGCTTTGAACATTTAACACTAGTCACAATGATGCACGAGTGAACACACTGCACTGGAAGGAATTTACGTCTTACTGCATCTGAAAGCTTTGTACAACAGGCCATCTCCTCTCATCACAGGCACAACACCTTAGCTTAAAAAAGTGAACTGAAATCCTCATTTGATTTTACACAAATGAAGAAAATACAAGTCTTCTGAGAAAGAGCTCGTTTCCCTATTTTTTCATACAAGCACTGGCATTACAAAAACCAACTCTGAAAGAAGAACCATTTTTCAGTTTCTTATTTCAGTCTTTCACACAATTTCTTCCTCCTAAAATGAAACTTCTTACCTTATCCCAACCCCAGAATATTGATCGAGGTTTGGGAAACTCTAAGATGTCCAGGGCTGTCTCTTTAACAATGACTGGATTGAGAATCCGAAATTGTTTTGATGTAAAAGGAATTTTCTTGGCAACTTCCTTCCAAAAGAAAAGTCGTATCCACAGAGACTAAGATAAAGAAATAAATAAATAGTTAGCCCAACAGAACCTCTGGCACTATGAAGCGTATCAGAAGTCATCACCCATAAACAGAAGTCATCACCCATAAACAGAAGTCATCACCCATAAACAGAAATTCAGGAAACAGTTTACAGCTCAGGTGGCTCCAGAATAGCAGTACACTGTTCAAGTGAGCAACCTAGCAGAGAGAAAACCTTCAAGGTGTTTGGAATTGAGAGAGGGCAGCAGGCAAAAAGTCTGCTTATTCTGAGTATTTGACTGCACTGTGTGTTTCATCAGTCAACGCATCTACCACCACCTCCAGGAGCTCTGGACCTTCCCCAGCACAACTGGGCAGCAGCAGTATTTGAAGAAAGGAGAAAGGGAATCAGTTTTCTACAAACATTAACCAGGGCATTTTGAAGTAAGCCCCTGTCTTAAAACAATTGCTGAGGCTTTGAAGCAAGCAGCTGTTGTTTGACAGCAGCCACCAGTGATAAATGCACCACTTCAGAAAAGGATTTACATTAGACTCAGCAAACTCAATTCTGATCTTACGCCATTTACACTCAATTAGATGCACGCTGATGCAAAAAGCAACACCATATCAGGCTAATTTACAAATCTTTCCAAAAAATGTGCAACAGTAAAGAAATTATAAAACTGGTAGAGCTGCAATGTAGGTCTGTATTGTTTTAAACAGGCTTTTCTGCTCTAAGGTGCAACTCCACAGCAGCTTAAACCAATCGAGTGTTGTTTGCTGCAGCCCCATCTTCCTGCCTGTTCTCTGAGCACTTCAAACAATAAATAAAGACATTTAGCTTCCAGATGAGTTCCCAAAACTGGCTGTCACAGCAGAAAAAGTGGAGCAAGGAAAAAAGTGGGAATGCTCAGGCATGGGGACAGAAAAGAGCCACAGCAACCTGGTCTTGAACTGATTTAAACTGCTGCAGAGCCACATTCCCTTATGCTGCTTTTCAACATTAATACATTTTGTTTAACCATCCGTAGCACACGAACAATGAGAGGAAAAAGGCTGGGGAAAAGAACAGGACCAACAGGACAGACCAACATTGTCCTGTCCTTGCTTTGAAAAAAGAAAAATTAGGCAGCACAAGTTCTTAAAACTGCACCAATTCACACATTCAAGAGTATCTCCTCTCCACAAAATATATTTAAAGTATTCCAAACAAGGCAATATCCCTACACACCTTCACTAAAGCAGTAGTAGACAGCCATAATCAATATCACAGGTCTCTCATATGCTTTCACTTTGAAAAAGTAAATATATACTAGCACATATCACACAGAACTAAAAGGAAACTTGGAGTAACTAGACAAAAATTTAAAAAAAAAAAAAAAAAAAAAGCTGCTGTTTTCAAAGTGTGGACTGAAAAGCCTAGCTGGGGTGTTTCTACTTATGGAAAGTAAGTGCCTGCAAATTGAAAGAGGTAAAAAACTACTGGTTTAAAGAGTTTGGAAACATGGAACTCTCCTGTCGGCTCTTTAGAGGTATGCGCACTTCATTTAGTGAGAAATAAGCGACCTCTTAATTCAGGAACCACAGGTAAATGTGAACTAATGACTTCAATACAGTTAATTGCATGTATGCCCACCACTGCAGCTGCACAGATGTCAGTGGTTAAAGAAATGGGACTAGCATCCCAAAATCTCATTTCTACTTCAGGTTCTGCAGACTTGAACACGTCACTTAAATCCAACGTGAAATGAGTTCTACTTTGTTAAATGCTCAGTATGTCACGTAGCTCAGTGTCTGTAATCTACCAATATCTGCAGAAAAAAGAAGTCACTGTCAGCATGGAGCCTAACTCTGAGTGCTGCTATCAACTGTAACTAGGAGGTAGCTATAAAAAAAAAAAACCAACACCAAAACCAAAGCTACATAAGAAATCCCCAATATACTAAATGAGGAAGCAATGCATCAGTAAACTTCTTAAGCACTAGAAAACAGAAAACAAACAAAAAAATCCCAGTTACATGACACTGTCACTGTACATACCAGTGTTTCATTTTTTACCATTGCTTGAAGCCAATTGAAATCAACACTTTTAAAGAGGACAGCCACAAATAAACTAGCAGGGGGATACTCATGTTCAGAAAGTGGAGCTCCTTCTGGGTAAGTCATCCTTATAGTAGTTTTGTTACCAACATGATCTGTGTATCCTTGAACTGGCGCATCATTTAACCTATAAAAACACACAGATAGGAACTGTAGTTAATAAGTGCAGAGTACAGTCTCATTAAAACATCAGACACTAAGCAAAGAACGCGTCCTTGGCCCACAGATTTCTTAGCAGAGTACAATGTTTTCTCAGTATCTCCATGTTCCTCGCTTCACGCACTCATCCACTCCTTATCTTTGAGAAGATGCCAGTTCTATTTCTGGAGCAGCTGGCAAAAGTACGAAACATCAAAAGGAAGAGCCTGAATAGAAAAGCAACTTAAACCAGCACCGCAGAATTTCACATTCTTTGCCTTGTGCCAGTTCCATCTTAAAAGAGAAAAACACACAGGCAGTTTCCTGCACAACTGCTTGCACGCACACACAAGAGCATTACACACAAAAAAGGCATTCAGATTATCCCTTCTCTCCCACACAGGTCAGTGTAGCACATCCTGTGTGCTCACATCATTCCAGCTCACCAAAATTTGGGAAGCTTGTAAGAACCAGAGACTGTAAGCTCTGTCACTTCTGTGGAAGTGAAAGCCTCATGGTCTTTTCTTATCAACAGGAAAGTCAACTGCATGCTGCCAACCCTAATCTCAGTGCACATTTAATGCAAACTCTCTGCCCTCTCCATACCAAGATTTGCTCACCTCTGTACAAGAGACACTGATTAACTGCACCAACTCTTCCCTTTGTAAAAGGAAGAAGTTTTACTTTACAAAGCTACTCATGAACACACTTTTATTGAATTTGTGATGTTACATGACTCAAATTACAAAGAAAAGAGCTCTAATAGAAACACTCAGAACACATGAACACAAATCATACTCTGGACATTAGCAAATATGGGTAACTGTAGAATCATGGAATCACTCAGGTTGGAAAAGACCTTAAAGATCATCGAGTCCAACCACAACCTAACCACATGACCCTAACTCTAACAGTCCTCTGCTAAATCATGTCCCTGAGTACCACAACTCTTTCTGTAAAGAAATTTTTCCTGATATCCAACCTAAGCTTACCCTAGTGCAACTCGTGGCCATTTCCCCTCGTCCTGTCACCTGTCACCAGTGAGAAGAGACCAACCCTGCTCTCACTGCAATCACCTTTGAGGTACTGGAAGAGGGCAGTAAGGTCTCCCTCAGCCTCCTTTTCCCCAGACAAAACAGCCCCAGTTCCTTCAGTCTCTCCTCATAGGACACATTCTCGTAGCGCTTCTCCTTGTTGAAACCACACATCCCAACAAAAAAAGGGGGAAGACAGAAATGAATCTTAAAGGCTACCTCAAAAAGTTTAAATATATGAACGGATAAAAACAAGGTCGCCTATTTGTCTAGGATCTTATTGGTTCCTAACTCAATTCTGCCCACGTTTTCTGTTATCTGTAGTCCACAAATAATTACACGGAATGTGAACACAAGATTGGAATTTTATCCATTCACAAACACGTTTCACAAAAACACTTTCAGAAGCAGCCTGAAATGCTGCATAACTAGTTGGAGATGTTTTCCTCACAAAAAAAAAAAAAAAAAAAATTAAAAAAAAATAAAAAATAAAAAAACACGTTGGCTAATAAAGTAAAATAGCTTGAGTCTTTAAATAGAAAATACATACCTTATAACAATATCATACTGATTCAGTAAGTGACCTAGCTCTGATCCATACAGAATTCCACCGCTGCCAATAACGACACAACGCTTACAGTGTTTTGACTTCAAATCCTCAGGCAAATCGTGCTCTGGTAAGAGTTCAAGAAGATTTTTAAGCTTATTAAAGAACCTGTGGAATCCAAAGGGAGGTCCGTATTTAAATAGAGCTTCATCATCATCCATGTTTTTTCCTACAAAGGGAGGGATGTCCATGCTGTATTTCTCCGCAAATAACTTTCCCATTGCTTTTTTCACATACGAAGGTCGGCACTGTTCCTGCAACACAGCACTGGCATATTGCTGTGCTCTCTGAAAGGAAACATACACAATTTCAGTCTCAGGAATGGGAGAAAAAACTCTTAATGCAACCCACCAGGTGACCACTAGCAGTTAAGCAGAGTTTCATAAAAAGAACTTAAATATGGAAGCACAAGGCATTTTAAAGAGGTCACCAAATAACAAGCAGCTCAGGGTGAAAACCTGCAAGTGAATGAGGTGACTGGACAGAGACTATCTGGCTAGCAGATTTTCTGAATAATAGATTAAATCAGTAAAAAGAGGCTAATGAAAGCTACACTTTCTTCAAGAGAGACCTTCCCTAAGATCTGTTGGAGAGTTCTTGTTAAAAACAATGTGAAATTACCCTCACCCATTAATTCAGCAGTGAAAGTGCAAGAGGAATTCTAATCCACTGCTCAACTGTGTAACCTGAATTCTGCCCTTCCTAAGCTTTTAGCAGAGACACACCAGCTGGGTAAAAGTTCTGGCAAATGGCAGCCTGCTTTTGCTTTACTGATCGAAGGAAAGCAACACTTCTCCCCAGAGGTACTGCTGAAGTGGCTTTGCTAATGACTAAAACACAGCTTGAAGAGGAATGCAAAGTGGGGGAGTTCTAGGTCTTCTTTCAAAACACGAATCACCAGAATAAAAAGGGCTGCAGTACCAAGTTACAGAGAAAGCTTAAGCTGCAAGATAAATTACGATTGATCTGTCTCATCAAAGAAGTTAAACATGCATAGTTTTCAAAACTATGTACTGGCAAGCTAGCATCTGAGGCAAAGAAGAAGAAAAAACAGCAAAGGTAGCATTTTGAGTCACTTAAAAATACATCCTTTAGAATATTCTCTTCCCTGATGTAATTCTGCTTATCTTTCATCCACTTTAATTCAAATTAAAAAAAAAAACAAACACAAGAACAACCACCTCCAATGAAACTACAGTAGCAAAAGTTGGGGATGGAAGATGCAGTCATTAAAAGATGCGTTGCTATTTCAGTTCCCCTTCTGTACTGTTAAGGAAAGGGAAGTGCATATCTGAGTATGCAAGGAAGTAAAATGGGCATCATTTGTGGGGGGGTTTTCTGCAGTTGTGTTTTCTTAAAATAGATTAATCCACAGAACTATCTCTGCTGCAAAGGCCACTGTAAGTCCAAGCACAAACAATGCACTTCTTCCTGGGCAAGTCACAATGGAGCAACTTCATACTGCACTTCACCATCGGCACCTTTGGAAGAGCCTCATTTTTAAGGCTGACAGCTAATAGCAATCACCAGCTGCTCCAAACAGTTTGCAATTGGCAGCTACCTAGCTAGACAAAAATGCAATATTTCCTCCTCCTGCATCTAGCATAAACAAAATGAATGGGACAGCAATATGTACATGCCCACATAAACTTCAGGCTTGCCTGGCTTACGGTGGATGTTGGCTGGAAACAAGAATGTGTTACCAAGAAAAGAAAGAAGTCAAATGAGAAGCAAAGAGATTCCCTGAACCTGTAGAAAACCTACTAAATAAGGTGGGAGGTGGGGAAGGAAGGATGCACAGGCAGCAAAGCTTGAGGGCTTCTGCTAAATATAAATTGTGTCAGAGCCGAGACGTTCAAAAACAGAAACATAACAACCCCAAGCTAAGTAACGCATATAAAGAGCAAGCAGGTCAAGTAGCAAAGGCAGAAAAATGTCAGGAAGAACCGAGAGAAAGAAAACTTTACTGATCTCTGTCACACGAGCTGAGAAGCCACGTGCAAACCTGCACTTGAAGTATTTGCTACCTTCAACAAATAAACAAAGAGCTGCACATAAATAAAGAGCTGAGCTCTCCTACACATTTGACAAGTGAATCCAAAAACATGGGAGCATCTAGAAGGTAAAGCAGACTGGGGAACTGGCTTTAGTAAAAATAAACTTTTGGTTTAATGCACTGGCTCTGGGTGGCTTATTTTTCATCTGCACAAATTTTCTGAACACAAAAGTTGGCGCTGATGCAACAGAAAGGCAAACAGCAAGAAGGGAGGTAACTCCCTGAAACTGAGTGCCAGCAAAAGGCTCACAGAAAACTGCTCTCCCTGGCAACTTTGGGCTGTCTCCTTGCCCTTTGCTCTGCTGCTGCACGGAGCCAGCTGAGGAACTGGGGCCTTGCATGGGCTCTGGGTCACCATGCAGGAAGCCTGGCTGCAGCTGCCTTTCTGGCATGCATGCAGATCACTGCTCCAGCACAACCCAGAGAACTAAAAGTGCAGCAATCCTATAACCCTTATTATATGGTATGTCATTTATGAACAGTCATTTCATAACGACTATAAGGACTCATAACGACTATTAACAACACTTTGTTTCAACCAAGTAAAAAAAAACAAAAAAACCCCCAGATACTGACCTTTACGCGATCAAAGTCCACATATGGTGTTTTTGTTCTGTCACATTCTTCAGGGTAAAAATGTAATTTGAGGATATAAAGGAAGCACCCTCCAATCACAAACAGTGCAAGAAGTCTAAAAGACAAACGGGTTTATGCAGGGGTTAGGAGGGGAAAAACAGAATCACTTTTTCTAGCAACTCACCAACTGCTAAATGAGTTTGTTTTTTAATAAGGACAGTAGAAGAAGTTCAGATGAGGATTGGCATTTGATTCAAACCAACAAACCTAAGTCCTTCTTCCTCCAATTTTTCACAACTCCTCAGAGCTATGCACAGGAAAGTATGAAAACATACAGACTGCTTCGATAAGGAAACCATTGCATACTGACACTCTGATGCTGTGAAGCTCTCTGCGCACATTTTAAACGCATCTCTGGTGGGTCAAACACTTCTCACGTACAGAAACCAAGAAATTACTTCTCTTTTCACACCATAAAGGAAATACTATTTTAAAATATGTCTTTTCATGCAAGTTTAAAAAAGGAAAGAAACTTCAAACTGCGAAGTTTTCAGCTAACAGTTATCATTCACAAGCAACACCTTCAACTCACAGGCAGGCTAGACTGCAAAATTTAGATGCTCGAGTTTATACTGAAGAACCCAATTTAATTATTTCTTTTCTTCTATGCCCGTTTTGGGGACACAATCCCTTAAAACTGAGTGATATAAGCTATCTGTGGTTTTGATCTACTCATTTCTCATTGCTATGGAACCTCAGTGTTTATTTCCACTGTTGGTTCATTTCATGTTTAAACCAACACACAAAAGTTAAACCCTTATTTGGTTAGATTGTGATTCAGATATATAGTTTGAGCTTTATTACTGACTTTTATTTTAAAACTTAACTATTTCCTATGGTTTCCTAAGGTCTGTACATTTGTTTTTACAAATGCGCCACCTCAGTATTCAGTGCTTCTTGAAACCCATGCAGACAAATTTGATACAGGCTCCCAAGATTTCAGGAAGAGAAAAAAAGACAAAAGCCTTGGCAGTAGTACTTATCTGTACCTCAAAAAGACTGCAAGCACTGGTGAGCAAAGAACTGGAATCTCACAACGCCTTGGGAAAACGTTTAATACAAGACAATCTGAGCTCCTCAAAGAGTGCCCCAACAGAAGCTGTGTTCCTAACCCTCCCTTCAGCTCCTGTGGCAATCCCACACCTTGATTTCTTTATTCTTTTTGTAACTTCCCAAGCTAGGGGAGAGCAACTGCCCCTATATTACCATTGCAAAGACACTTACTTGTGAGTACCTTTTAAAAACCAGATTGGTCTTCTCATCTTCATGTGCAGCTACCTTACACCATTGCACAGGAGGCAAACAATCACTTTTCAGCTTCACAGAGTTATTGTCACTCAGCATTGCTGGGAAAAGAAAATAACATTTTATCACAACTTTTTCTGAATGGACAAAATGTTCAAAGGACACTGACTGACTGCTGATGTGCTTTGTTTGCCAGCAAAGACTGTGACTCTTACTTACTATGATTATTATCATGTCAGGAATACCAAATCCCTCCTGACTGCCTTATGATCAAGACCATGCTCGTTTCAGACGTCCAACAGGAAATGATTCTAAGAATACAAAAATGTTTCCATGTATTTTCCATGTACTTGCCTTTGTACTCTTCACAAGCCTGATCTTGCAGGTCGTTTCTAACCTTGTGCTGCTATGATTCTATGATCCTAAGTCCAACTCAGCCACTTACAGTTATTTGCGCCTGACCCCGGCCAAACACCATCTTGTTTACCCACTCATTATCCTAAGCGTACTGCAATATATCTGCAGCCCCAGCCAATGTGGTCATTAGAGCAGCAAGTAATAAAACAGATACACAGAAGCTGTGCCTGCAGGGCAGCACGGCCAGGAGGTTGCAAGCACTGCAGCAGTTCCTGCACCTAGCAGCAGCTCCCTCCCCCGACCTCTGCGAGCCCAACAGGAGGTCAAAACACTCCCACACAGATGAGCCAGTCACTCGTCATTAGCTAACGAGATGCAATCTCACCACTTTGCAGGAGACAGTTTGCAAGGGCCCACAAGCTTGTATCAGCATGCTGCAGGTCTGAATGTCCACAGCTCCCTTTGATCAGACAACTGCAGAAGGCACAGCAGTCCTCCACAATGGAGGAGCTCAGCCCTATTCATCCCCTTTCATCTCAGCCCTTGGCCCTCCCCGCTCTCCAGTGCCAAGATGTTCACATACTTGCTCTCCTGCCAAGAACTACCACAAGAAAAGTTAAAAAAAAAAAAAAATAATTGCCACTTTGAACCACTGTCCATCTGCAACCAACCACTGTTCTGACACATGGGAATGAAGGAGCTGATGAGGCAGATGGGCTCCCCCTCCAGTTCTCAAATCCAGCCCACAGAAATCTCAAGGATACCTAATTCAGAAGATGACATAAAGTCTCCTTCTCTTTGTGAAGCCACAAGCAGTTGTAACAAGGCAGAGATCAATACCAGCATCCTCTATCCTTTGAAGAGCGCACAACTGTGAAGTGACACTTTCTAGAGCCACCTCCAGGAAGCCACAATGACATTTCCCACAAAACAGAGTAAGCAAAAAAAAAAAAAAAAAAAAAAAAAAAAGGAACTTGTGCCTTTTTTGCCAGGAGAAAACTTTACCAATCACTTCAAACGTAGCATAGAAAAGCAACCAAATCACACGAGAACCTCCAAATACTCACCTGTCTGTATTTACTAATTGCACAGACTCTCTTGAGATGTCACACTCATCAGTAGCCCTTTGTAACAAAGCAGCAGTACCTTACTCAACGCTTCTAGTAGGTCTGAAAGCACTGCACAAACCGAGGTCGTTATGCTTGTCTTGGGACAAGCTAAACTAAAACCCAAGCTGTAAGCAACAGCCAAGGTCTCCCTGAACGCAAACAGTTAAGCTGGAAATCCAACCCAGCTCCAAGCTCCCACACCCTCTGCCAGGACGCTTGCAGCAGGTCTCAGGGAACTTACCAAGCCTTACAAACTCATCATTCCTTCAGAGCAATATCTTGTCTTCATTGGCTGCATTTGTGTTATTGACCAACAATAGCACCAAGGAGCAAAAATGTGTTTCAATACTACCACCCCATTCACCAACATTACAAGCCAGTTTTGTTCTCAGCTAAGACTTGCAGCAAACCCAAACACATCTACATGGGTAGAGATCCAGCACGCTTCAGGAAAGTTTGTTCCAAGAGCCATAACCTCAAGCCAGTATGGATCACCGAGATGAACTGCTCTACCTTGAGATGTCCAGCACCACGCCAACAGCACCTGCATGATCCCCTCATGCGCCAGGACACGACACACACCTTTCCTGCCACACTGTGCACAGAAGACAACTAAGCACCCCTGACCACTGCTTGGGACCCGGTACCTTTATACCCACGTCTCAGAGGCGGCAGGTATCACATGGAGATGCCTGGATCCGGTCTCGTACAGCGCACGAAGCGAGCAGAGCGCACTGGAGAATGGCAGAGAACATAAAGAGAGGCTTGCAGAACACGTGCAAAGTCCAGGATTGCTCCACGTACCACGGAGAGTACACGTAGCCAGGTCACCTCGGAGACTGGCTCAGACTAGCACGAGCAAGGGGCACTCAGCAATGTTTGACAAGAGGGAAGCGGATCCCTCCCTGATAGGGACAGCTTTACTGCACGGATGTGACCATCCAGTGCAGCGCATGGCCAAGCTGCGATGCACAAAACAATCAGCACATCTATCGCTTCCACAGGTCTCTGTAGGCACACTGGGGGGGCAAAAGATCCTTCCTTTGAAAAAGAAAAAAGGCTGATTAAAAAAACAACAGGAAATAAGCTTCAGCAATTTTCCATAAAGAAGAATGCAAGTAATAATTATCTCTCAGATAAACAATGAGTAATTTGAAGGCAGTCTATAGGAACATAGATCAGACATTTCTGAATGAAAGGGTAACTATCAAACTTGTATCGGAGGATCCTGATAAGAAGAAATTATTGCAGTAACATACCAAGCGATACATTGAGTTCTGGCCCTGGTACAGGCCACATTTACAAAAGAATACACTCTGCATTGAGTACACATTTGAATCAAATCCATAAAGTTTTATGGCTTGAATTACAGGGGCAGAAGAAAGAACCTTGCTGTCCTCGCTTTGTTCAGAGCAGGTTTCTATTTTTTTTGCCAATTAGTCTGTCCTGTGTTAGGGCCCAGGTTTCACTGCAGTCTGACAGAAACCTTCACTGGTGAAAGTCTGCCCAACACACATACAACTTTATATTGACAAACAGCAACAGAGAGCTCTTGGAGTCACCCTGCTGCACTGAATGACGCAGCCAATCTCCTCTGCAGGATAAACCATGAAAGAGCAGCCTGCAAACAGCAAGCTCTTAGTAACTTCTGAGGATAAGAACTTCCAACTGCAGAACTGGAGACAGTGGTCCCACAAAAGACACACTTTTCACGAAGCCTTTCAAAACAAAAGTAGGGCTGTGGAGATCTAAAAAGGGAAGGAAACAGAAAGGAGGGGAGCGATGAGGATAGAAGGAGATTAGCGAGGAACGAAGCCTGAAATAGCCAGGTAGTAGAGCAATAAGTTTTCCCTGCTTCTAAGCAACACAAATTCCAGCCATCCCCAAACAGTTGCTTTACTCATTGTAGATGTGCAGAAAGCAAGCCAGCTTTCTGAATGTGGAAAAACAGGACTGCATCAATCAGCTTAGCACATTCTTTCATAGAATCCTAGAATGGCCTGGGTGGAAAAGGACCACAATGCTCATCCAGTTCCAACCCCCTGCTATGTGCAGGGTCACCAACCAGCAGACCAGGCTGCCCAGAACCACATCCAGCCTGGCCTTGAATGCCTCCAGGGATGGGGCATCCACCACAACCTCTTGGGCCTGGGCATCCACAACCTGTTCCAGTGTGTCACCACCCTCTGTGTGAAAAACTTCCCCCTTAAATTTTTTTTCAATTCTTTTAAAATTCCTTGGACATTGACGCTGCACTCCTAACTGAGTCAATAAACATCTCCCACTCACTGGAATGACAGAGGAGTGCCCAGAAGAGCAAGGCAGTAACAAGCACTTGGAAAGGCATCTCTATCAGCATCCTCCCGAGCTTCCAAAAAAATCTGAATTTGGAGAGAACTGCAGCAGTAACAAAACCAAGCACAGAAGATAAGTTACAGCAGAGTGCATATACCCACATTTTGTTGTTGCATACAGTCACCACTGTGCCCTTTCAGAAACGAGCAGCCTATGGTTTCTCAGAGAGTCATTAACACAAATGTCCCAATTTGCGTACAAAAGACGTCTCAGTAGTAATGCTGTATTACAATCACATTTTGCACTGATATTTCTATAGCTACTCATTGTGGTGTAATTAGCGAGGACTCCAGAGACTTAAATTTGCTATTCATCTACTGAACTTAAGCGATCTCTGTAAAGCTGCTGTGAAAGCTGAATTGGCCATCAGCAGGAATGCACTCCAAAGCTTTTTGTGGTGTTATTCTTTTCACCGTAATTTACATTTGTCTCCCTGTTATTCTCGAGCAGACAAGATTTCATCACTTAGAGTATTTCAGAAGCAATTAATTGGGCCTTCTCAGCCTTTTTCTGTGGGAATGCTAAGAAACAAAGCTTAGCATATGTCAAACTGTTCAACGACCACTGCCACACCCTGAGAAATTACACCCAGCACCCAGATAAACCCACAAGCAAAGACAAGGGCTCTGAGCCCCTGCTGTTTCAGCACTAGTAGCCATGTCACTCATAGAGGCAGAACCAGAGCATCCTGCAAAGGAGCGCAGGAGGAGACGTACCTCCATCCGTCACCATGCACTCATTCAGGACTAGAACTACAATCCCATGCAGGGGTGCTGTTTCCACTTACCTCCCTCACCCTGTCAATCCAAGGACATTCCAGACACACCAAAACTCCAGTTAGCAGCCTCTAGGGCTGAGCTCAGCATTATTGTGACAGCAGCCACTGTTCCAAAACAACCATCTCTGTGCAGGCAAGAACTGAAGCCACAGGGTTACTGCAAGGAAGCAGCTCTGTTCATCCACCTAATCTCAGTAAATATCTGCACGTGGACAAGAGAATTTACAGAATTGGAAAGGACCCATAGGGATGATCGAGTCCAACCCAGCTTCACCTGAACCCATGGGGAAGCTGCCCCAGGCAAGCCAGTGCTGAAAGCCCTGCAGAACAAGAGCTGTCCTCCAGCTATATGGCATCTAACACAACATGGACAGCAAATGAAACTACCAGGAGTTGAGAAAACCAACTAACGTTCTCCCTGGCAGCATGCTGGGAAGTGGTAGCAAGTAGCAGCCAGCTCTGTGAGTCAACCAGGAGCATCCAGGCAACAAGGCCAGACCATGAGGCATGACCCAGCTTTTGAAGTGTGTGAGAAATGATCAGGAAGGTTGCAGTATAAAGTCCACAGAAACTGAAAACTGAAAGACACACTTTTATCAATCAATTATTAGGCAAGAGCAATAGAGCTGGAACATGCAGTAAAACAGATGGCGATACTAACACAAAGCACCTCTGTGAACAAAGTGCTCCTTTCATGTCCCTCTCTTCCAAATCAGGCTATCAAATAACTTTAATTCAAGAAAACAAACGACAAAAATTAAGCACCAACTCTGCCATACCACTGCCAGCACTTGGCCAAAATTTTGCCCATGAGAAAGGTTACATATTTTGTTGTCATTACTGACCAAATTGATGACACCATATCCATCTTGAAAACTTTCGTAACGAAGAGCAGTGTTCTAACTGGATGTTATCAAGTTGGGTAACAAAAGAAAAATCAGTTGGGTTAAAATTTATAGTTGAATTTTGTTGCTTTTGCAGTACTATAAACCACAGATATCACAGTAGATAAGTGCTAAGACTAAAGAAAAGCAAGAAAAAAGAGGTGGAAATAGTTAACTAGCTGATAGTTCCTGTGGTGTGCACCTGTTAAACACAGCCTCTTAGCAGGAGGAGAATTTGAAAAGAAGATGAAGGAATTAACAGATTCATTAAGAAACCAATCAGAAATCTGAATGGAACCATGATAGTTTCATACCACATCCTCAAAGCCCTTGCTCCCTGCTACGAGATGCTGGCATTTACACTCAACACACTCTTCCAAGGCTCCTAAGCCAATCCACAGTGCCTTCAGATCCTTCCTACACTTCCAAACTTCACTCTCACTGGAAAGATTAAACCATAAGGAAAGAATTTTGCAAATAATCTCTGTTCCGTTTTAAAGGAATCATAATAAACAATGATTTCTTTTAATCAAAAGTGGATGAAACCGCTTTCCAGTATTCAGGGAGAGAAAATGCAGTAATACAAAGAATAAAAACAAGGGAACTAAAGATAGCTGCTTGTGAAAACGACTGCACAGGGAGGCCTCAGCAGCTGCAAGCGCTGTGTGGTCAAACTGTCACCTTAGAACTGTGGCGAAATAGAGGCATTCTCATCCTCCCAAAACATGGGGTCTTCCTTAAATACAAAACCAGTTTTGAAATAAACTCTTCACATGAATTTCAAGAACCTGTAATTAGATAAACAACATATGAGTGGCTTGGAACAACATATGAGTGTTCCCTCCAGCAACAGACACTCAAAAACTGCACCACAGAGAAAGACTGCCTTCCTTTCCAATGCATCTGCTGCTACGAATCCTGACTTCCACACCAGATTTTAAACGTGGGTTTTAAGGACTAATTGAAAAGCCAATTGAAAAATTGCCCAGATGTTGAAATTGGATCACAGACCGACACAATGAAAGTAAAAATCCTTTTATCTGGAAGGGCCCATTTGACCAGAGTAACAAAATACGCAGGAAAGAGTAGGAAAGGAAAAAGAAACAGGCAGTTTAGTCCAAAGGAACTGCTCCTGACTTAGGAAATCTTTCTGTAACACAAACTGAAACATCCTCTAAGAATCACAGAACAGCCCGGGCTGAAAAGGACCACAATGCTCATCCAGTTCCAACCCCCTGCTATGTGCAGGGTCACCAACCAGCAGACCAGGCTGCCCAGAGCCACATCCAGCCTGGCCTTGAATGCCTCAGGGATGGGGCATCCACAACCTCCTTGGGCAACTTGTTCCAGTGCATCACCAGCCTCACCTTCCTCCTAATATCTGACCTAAACCTCCCCTGCCTCAGTTTAAAACCATTCCTGCTTGTCCTATCACTATCCACCCTCATAAACAGCTGTTCCCCTTCCTGTTTATACACTCTCTTCAAGTACTGGAAGGCCACAATGAGGTCTGTTTGGAGCCTTCTCTTCTCCAAGCTAAACACTCCCAGTTCCCTCAAACTTTCCTCACAGGAGAGCTGCTCCAGCCCTCTGATCATCTTAGTGCCCTTCTCTGGACTCGTTCCAAGAGCTCCACGTCCTTCCTGCACTGAGGGCCCCAGGCCTGGATTCAGTACTGCAGATGGGGCTTAGGACATTCCCTCAATAGCACACAACAGTGATCCCTGAAAACTAGAAGCATGAGAAGAAATTCCTGAAATATTTAAGATTTGATGCAGGTTTATCATGGTGCAGAAGCATGAAACCTTTGGATTACAGCAGTGTTA